CACAACATATGTTGCTCGAGCCATATTGTTTGGAGTCCACGCTGGGTAACACTTCCCTTAGGTTTTGGACAGTTGTTGAGCTTCTCGTTTGGTCTGCTTCCCGACAGCCCAGGACGGGCCAAAAGGCTTCAAGACCGCCCATGGGGGCTTCAAGAGGCTGTCAAGAGAGTCCCACGACTGCCCAGGGAAGGGCCAAGAGCCACCCAAGGCGGCCAAAGGGGGCCCGAAAAGATCCCCCAGAGGAGCCGCATGGAAGGTACGAAGCTCCGACAAGGCTCTAGAGTGCTCCGGAATCCTCCACGACAGCCTCTGGACAGCGCAGGAGACGCCCCGAGACCTCCCCAGGACCGCTCCGAAGCTCCTCCAGCGAGCTGGGAGAAGGCCAAATCCTTGATTGCTTGTTTTGCTTCCCCTTCTGTTGGGATCCCGACTGCCCAAGACAGCCCCACAGGCTCACAAAACCTCACCAGGAAGCCCCGAGGGGCTGCCAAGAGGTCACACGACTGCGAACAAAGGCACACGGATGGCCCAAGAGGCACCCAAGACGGCCAAAGAGGACCCCACAAGGATTCCAAGGGGAGCCACAGAGGAGAAACGAACCTCCGAAAGGGCTCAAGCGCGCTCCGGAATCCTCGACGAAAGTTTCCAGACAGCTCTGGCCTCTGGAAGCCCCCAAGGCGCCACACGACCAACCCAAGAGCGCCCCAAGGCTCCCCCAGAGAGCCACCAGACGCCCTACTTGGCTCCAGCAAAAGTTTCCTTGGACACTCGCAACGAAAAGTAGATGTACGCACGCCCATCGGCTAGATGAGTTGTTGCGCGCGAGTGCTCAGCGCTCGCGCGCGCGATCCCGAGACGCCCCCATGGCCGCAGAATGGTTCCAAGAGGGCCTGAGGCCACAGGCGATAACGTCCAGACGACCCTGGGATGACGCAACCCCAACACGATCCCGCAGTGGATTCTGGACCGCCTCAGGCTGACTCGAATATGATCAAACTCATGAGCCACGAGCGACGCCGAGATGGCCCGATGGCAACAAGATGGATCCACGCGCGCCCAGGGTGGCCCCAGAATGAATACGCGACGGCTGCGCGATCCAAGCATGACCGAGATATGATATCCAGATGACCTCAAGACGACTCTGACATGACAGGAGCGTTGCAACTTCGGATCCCCATCTTACTTCGAGCCGATCCCAGCACGGCAGGATCCGTGAACGAAGCAGAATATTTGTTTACCCTATTTCTAATGGGTGGGGTTTTCGTCCAGTTGAATTGAAATTCTCATGCTGGAGGGGAGTAAGTTAGGCGGGATCCCGCCCGGCCCACAGCAGAAGACTACGTTGCTAGGCTTCTTCGGGGGGTAGGGGGGGGTATCGGACTGGGCGTCATTCGTTGCCGCTGTCTTCCGCAAGCCTTCCAACGGCCTTCCGCCGTTTTCCGCCTCGTTCCACTTCCGTTGGCTTCCGGTAGCGAGCGACGTGACGAAATTCCAAGGGATTTTCGTTGGGCCGACGTTGTCATCATTTACTTGCGTTTTTCTGTTGTCTTACATGTTTTTCCCAACCCTCCTGCGTTGGGTTCTCGTTTTGAATGGAGCACTGCTCGCGCGTCTCCTTCCCACTCGCGCGTCTCCTTCCCATCCCTGGGGGGCTGCGATCTGTGAAACTGTCGCCACTTTCGAGGGCTGCTGAGGGGCCCAGCACAGTGGGTACCCACCGCAGACTCAAATTAGACCTCGCCATCCCTGGGGGGCTGCGATCTGTGAAACTGTCGCCACTTTCGAGGGCTGCTGAGGGGCCCAGCACAGTGGGCACCCACCGCAGACTCAAATTAGACCTCGCCATCCCTGGGGGGCTGCGATCTGTGAAACTGTCGTCTGTGAAACGTCGCCACTGGGGGGCTGCCAGCACAGTGGGTACCCACCGCAGACTCAAATTAGACCTCGCCATCCCTGGGGGGCTGCGATCTGTGAAACTGTCGCCACTTTCGAGGGCTGCTGAGGGGCCCAGCACAGTGGGTACCCACCGCAGACTCAAATTAGACCTCGCCATCCCTGGGGGGCTGCGATCTGTGAAACTGTCGCCACTTTCGAGGCCTGCTGGGGGGCCCAGCACAGTGACGCCACGCAGACTCAAATTAGACCTCGCCATCCCTGGGGGGCTGCGATCTGTGAAACTGTCGCCACTTTCGAGGGCTGCTGAGGGGCCCAGCACAGTGGGTACCCACCGCAGACTCAAATTAGACCTCGCCATCCCTGGGGGGCTGCGATCTGTGAAACTGTCGCCACTTTCGAGGCTGCTGGGGGGCCCAGCACAGTGGGCACCCACCGCAGACTCAAATTAGACCTCGCCATCCCTGGGGGGCTGCGATCTGTGAAACTGTCGCCACTTTCGAGGGCTGCTGGGGGCCCAGCACAGTGGGTACTCAAATTAGACCTCGCCATCCCTGGGGGGCTGCGATCTGTGAAACTGTCGCCACTTTCGAGGGCTGCTGAGGGGCACAGCACAGTGGGTACCCACCGCAGACTCAAATTAGACGCCGCTTTCGTCCTTGTTCTCCTCCTGCAGTCACCTTCCCTCTGCTGCTGCCGTGCTGATGGTTCGGCTTCCCGCACGTTTTTCTCCTGCTCTGCGTTCCCGACTCCCCATGTCCTCTTCGAGCCTGTAGTTGTCGCCCCTCGTTCTTGTATGGTTATCCTGCGCATCATGCCATAGGCGCGTGTCCCAAGTAGCTTACACATCAAGTTGATTGTCCATGCAAGTTTCGGCCAACTCCTCGTTTCCATTGATACAAATGGGTTGGGTACGTTCTATGTTCTGGGTCCCCGACTGCCCAAGGCGGCCCGAAAGACTTCCAATACCACCCTTTGAACCGCCAAAAGGCTGCCAAGAGGGCCAAACGACAGCCCGAGAGGGCCTGGGACGGCCCAAGTGCCACCCAAAATCCCCCAAAGGGTCCCAAGAGGGCCGCAAAAAAGGGCCACAGGGGAGGGACGCGAACTGACACTTTGAACCTGTCGACTTCGAAAGACCCCCCAAACCCCCAGCATACCAAGAGGCACCCCACCGTCCTCGAGAGGGCCCCATGAGGCACGAGAGGGCGCCCAAGATGACCCCCACGAGGGCAGCAAGAGGCGAAAATAACAGCTGCCTTTTCGGTTTGACATGCACTTCAACGTTCTAGCCGCTTCGTGCATTGCACGCCCCCCAAGGCAGCCGAAGAGGCCCCAGAGTAGCTTCAAGCTGGCCCCCCCCCGGGACGCGTGGGGGCAACCGAAGACCCCCTCAAGGGGGGGAAGGCGAGGGGGGGGGCGGTCCGCGGGCTCGCGGTCGTCGCGTCGTCGTCCACACGAACGCGACGACGTACGACGACACGACGACGTGCGACGACGCTCGACGACGGCATGACGGCTCCTGGAGCCCCAAGAGGGCCCAAGAGGCGCTCAAGAAGGAGGGTTCCAAGACGGCCCAAAGAGGGGCCCAAGAGGGCGAACGCGAACCGAAAAAAAGAAAGCACTCCGCCCCAAGAAACCCCCAGGAAACCCAAGAGGCCTCCAGAAGACCCCCAAGAGGCTCCAAGAGGTCCCCCAGAGACCCATGAGAAATTCGAAGATGCTTCAAACCGACTCCTCCAAGAGGCCTCAAGATTGCCTCCAAGGGGGTACCCGAGAGGCCACCCACGAAATCCCAACGAACATGCAAGAGGCCTCTGACCCACAACCCAGGCGCGGAGGCGGAATGAAGCGAAGACCACCCGAAGCGTACATGCACAGTTGCATTTGTACACGTGGCAACGGCAGCGGCGGTAGTCGTCGGCAGCGGCGGTAGTCGTGATCGTAGCAATGGCAGACATGTTGGTGATGGCGTTCGCGAGAGTGCCCGTGGTATCAGAGGCAGCCGTGGCGCAGCTTTGACTAGAATCTAAGCTCGCGCGAAGCGCGCGTGGTTATATCATAGTGCTCAGGGTTTTATGTATATACGCACTATATATATATATACATACACGCCGCTCGATACCTATGCAGTCTCTCTTTCTCTGTCTCGTTCTCTCTCTCTGTATATCTCTCTCTCTCTCTTTCCACTTCTCGCTGTCTCTCTACTCCGTCTCTCTCTCTCTGTACCGTGTTTACTCTCTACCTTTCAACTCGCTCTGCCCTGTATTCTTTTACAACATACACTATGTGTTGCTCACTCTCTCTCTCTCTCTCTCGTTCTACCTTTCTCTCTGTCTCTCTCTCTCTCTCTCTCTCTCTTTCTGCTGAACAATGCCCTCTATTGTATAATCTATGATCAGCACTCTTTACTAGCTAATATCTCATCCTGACCGTGGTCGCAAGGACCTGGGTATTTGGCACAACGAATGATTCAAGGACCCGGGAAACTTACAGTGCCAGAATTTCCAGAGCCGCAATTGCGAAGCCGGGAGCGTTTCCGCCCACCGAAATCGGGCGGGAACCTGGAACCTGGGCACCTTGTACCCGGGAACCCAGGAACCCGGCCTCGGCGGGCTACCCTTTTTCTTATTCTTCAGTCTCCGCCATGCAAGCACTCATTGGGAATGACGTTCGCCATGCGCTGGTTTGCGCCATGTGCCTATATAGAAAAGTTATGTATGTTCCCCAAATGTCAAGTGTTTCACCTTCCAGCCCAGCAGGTTACCCTTTTTTAATCTTCTTCAACACGTAGAGCAATCCACTCAAGTACATTAGCAGAGATTGATGGGCAATGTTGAGCTTTCTATGGCAGACGTCTACGAGTAGATTGGCAGACGTCTCAACACCGAGAGGCCATCGATCGAAAGAGGAAAGGCTCGGAAGTCCCGACCTGGAGGAGAGTCAGAGGAGGAGCAGCAGCAGGAGGAGGCCGGCGTTCCGCATACTGCTTGGCTGCTGGCTGCCGCATTCCACGGTCAGCGCTCCCCAGGACACAACGGGGCTCACTGTCAGCGAGCGTCGGGGAGGCAGTGGTGCTCTGGGGCGGGGGAGCGCCGTTGGGCGAGGACGTCGACACTGGCGCGTTCTGCGAGGCGGTTTTCTACGTCCCGCGCTTGCGGCTTCTGCTTGCGACTGGCCCGCCGAAAACCTTGGGGAGGAGGGAGGGAAGATGGGAGGGTGGGGAGGGAACGTTGAGGAGGAGAAAGAAAGATGAGGAGGAGAAAGAGCAGGAAATACAGAGTTTGGAGAGGAGGAAGAGAGACGGAGGATGACGGAGAAGGAGGATAGTGGAGAGGAGGGTACACTGCACTCACATCTATACCCCTGGGTGGGTGTATGTGCGGCCGTTTTTGCGCTGTCATGTGCGCGCATGTGCGCGGCATGTGCCAGTCATGTGCCAGGCCTGTGCGGTCCTTCTTGGATGGACTTCCTACTGTGCACGTCGTGCCCGGGCATGTGCGGGGGCATGTGCGCTGTGTTTTGATGTATCCATCATACGCACATGCACGCACAGTCCGACGCACATGCGCGCACATGCCTGCACATGCGGGAGGTGTTCGAGAATCGCAGATCTGTCATCGGCACATGCACGCACATGCCTGTGCAACCTCTCTTCGGGAGGCCGCGCGGGCCCGCACATGCACGCACATGCGGTGAAGCGCGCGGGCGCACATGCGTGCACATCCCAATGCACATGCACGCTCATGCCCTAGGAGCTGTCTGGGACCCCTGTGCCTCCAATGCCTCCTGGCCTTCGCAGAGCTAACCTGGGGCGTGCCAGGGCTTCCTGAAAGAGTTTGTTGTGCGTTTAGACTCGCCCGCTGCTGGCGGGGGCGGTTCTTCGCCCGGTTCGTGAGCTGGCGGTGGCGCGCCCGCCTAATAAAATACTCTCCCGCGCGCCTTCTCAGCTCGGCCGGAGAAGCAGGGATGGGGGGGGGGAGGTGGAGGGGGGGGGGAGGAGGGGGGGGCGGAGGAGGCGGGCGCCCCCGGCTCGGCCGGCCCGCCTGCCTGTTCGGCTCGGCCAGAGGAGAAGGAGGAGGAGGAGGAGGAGGAGGAGGAGGAGGAGGAGGAGGAGGAAGAGGAGGAGGAGGAGGAGGAGGAGGAGGAGGAGGAGGAAGAGGAGGAGGAGGAGGAGGAGGGGGAGGTGAGAGTTGCGAGGATGTCTCAGGCGAAAGTGGCTTGACGACCCGAGCTCAGGGATCCTCACAACTCAGACCTCGGAGGTGTCCTGCCCCATGGTCGTCTGGTCACCTTGACCAGCGACATCCTCGCCACTCTGGTTTCCAAGATGCCCTGCCCCATGGTGATCCGGCCACGCTTGCCTGAGACATCCTCGGAACTCTGGGTTGCGAAATGCCCCGAGCTCAGGTGGTCAGGCCACTCTCGCCTGCGACATCTCTGCGGCATGTGCGGGCATGTGCGTCTATTCTTTCAGAGTTTTGCTTGACCGTGCATTCGACTGAGCGTCGGGCGGTGTGGCATGTGCGCGCATGTGCGGCAATGCTGTTGAGGCTCTTGTATATTTGCATGGGCATGTGCATGCGACTGTGCGGCATGTGCCTGCATGTGCGGCCCCTTCCGGACCACAATTTCAAAGTGAGCACTATAGAAGTGAGCGCTATAGAAGTGAGTCCGGTGTAGATCTTTTAATCCTCTTATCCTCTTATCCTCCTCCGTCTCCTCCTCCTCCTCCTATCCTTATTCTTTATCATAATATACTCTTACTACGCCTCTGGCCGGCCGATAGGGGTTCCATCCGGGCCTTCCCATCCTAACTGTACAAAATCAATACAACGTCGTCGTTCTTTCTCTCAACGTGGCCTTTGGCGCACATCGCGCGCGGCCGTCAATCCGGGCCCCAAAAAATCAATACAAAGTCGCCGTTGTTTCTCTCAACATGGTCTTTCTTGTCGTCGACGATGCGAAATGCGTAGCAGGAATGGGACGCGGCGCACATCGCGCGCGGACGTCTGGGGCAACCCCAAGCGGGAGGGGCCATCCTACCTGTTAAAACCATACAAAGTCGACATGTTTCCTCTCAGTGAGGATTTTCTTGTCGTCGGCTTTGCAAAATGCGTGGCAGGAAGGGGGGCGCGGTGCACATCGCGCGCGACTGGGCGAAATGTTGCTCTCGCTTCAGCGCCGCGCGTATGTTTCCTGAAATTTGCGCTCTCGCTGAGGCGCGGTGCACATTTTTCGCTCGCCAATTCGTCGAGCGCCTGGGGCCCTCTGGGGCCTCACAGGGTCTCCTGGGACATCCTGGGGCTTCCCGCCCGGGCTTCCCCAGGGCCTCGTGGATCCTCCTCGAGCCTCCTGAGGCATCCTGGGGTTTCCTGCGATTCCCCGGGGGCTTCCTGACACTTCCTGGGGCTTCCTGAAGCCTCCTGGAATTACCTGGGGCTTCCTGGGCCCTCCTGAAGTCTACTGGGGCTTTCTGGGGGTCGCTGGGGCTTCTCCTGAGGCCTCCTGGGGCCTCCTGGGGCTTCCTGGGGCCTCCTCGGCTCGTGCTGAAATGCCAGCGCAGTCTTTGAGACGCGCCAGGGATTTCTGATCGGTAGCCGCCATCGCGGCTGCATCAGCTGTGGCAAACCACCTTGCCGATCTGATTTCGGTCCCCAGTTGCGCCAGCAATGTTTCTTATGTTGTGGGAGGGCGGGTGGGAATGGGCATGCCATGCTTGACTCGCTCGAGCTGGCTAGCTTGACTCCTACTCCTGCTCCTACTTATCCTAGTCCTCTTTCTCTCTCCTCATCTTTATCTCTCCTCCTCTTTCTCTCTCCTCCTCTTTCTCTCTCCTCCTCGCCCTCTTTCCTCTGTGACAAAAATTCGCCCTCTTTCCTCATCGGCCCCCCTCCCTCCTACATCCTTCTCTTCTGCCTCCATCCTCTCCTTCCTCTTGGCCCCCCCTGCCCTCTTCTCCCCGTCCCTGCCCACCCGTCGCTCCCCCGCCCTCCCCGCGTCTTCCGCTGGCCCAGGTGAACGACCTGCTCGTGTCGGTCCCCCGCGACCCCCCGGCGATCCTCCGGGAGGACCCGCGGCCGCTGAGCCCGGAGGGGGATGCCACGGAGGGGGCGGCGCAGCGGGGGCGAGGGGGGAACTTGCGGGCAGGGCTCCTCGAGCTAAGCGGCGTTTGGGTAATTTCGTGGACGGGCCTCTTTCGACTTCGTTTTTCGGTTGTCCTCAGGACGTGTGTTAGCCCAATGTGTGTTTATCCCGTTCAGTCCAGCCGGTAGAGCATCACATCGCCTGCGTCGTATCGAACGGCCTCGATGGACAACACACACGCTGTGGCTAACTCACGTTCTGAAGATCATCGAGTCTTGCAGCAGGGGCGGATCGAAGGCAGACCAGCGGAAATGGCGATAGCAAAACGAGCATGCAAGCCGCGGAGGGCGCGGCGCAGCGGGGGCGAGGGGGGCGGGGGTGGGGGGCACCTTCGGTGGGTGGCGGGGGGGAGGGGGGAGGATGGCGGGGGAGGCGGGTTCGGGGGAGGAAGGGGGGGGCCGCTCCCTTCCTCCCTCGAGCCCGCCTCCCCTGTCATCTCCCCCCTCGCTCGAACCCTCCTGCCCATCATCTCCCCTCCCCGCCCCCCTGGAGGAGGGGGGGGTAAATGATGGGGAAGGAGGGGGCTACGAGATGCAAGCGGGACGAGCTGGATCGAAGGGGAATGCAGGGGATCGGCGGATGGTGGGTGGAGGAGAGGAGGAGGAGGAGGAGGAGGAGGAGGAGGAGGAGGAGGAGGAGGAGGAGGAGGAGGAGGAGGAGGAGGAGGAGGAGGAGGAGGAGGAGGAGGAGGAGGAGGAGGGAGGGGAGGGGGAGGGGGGGAGGAGGAGGAGGAGGAGGAGGAGGAGGAGGAGGAGGAGGAGGAGGAGGAGGAGGAGGAGGAGGAGGAGGAGGAGGAGGAGGGAGGAGGAGGAGGAGGGGAGTGATGAGCGGAGGAGAAGGAGGAGGGGGGGAGGAGGGAGGAGGAGGAGGAGGAGGAGGAGGAGGAGGAGGAGGAGGAGGAGGGGGAGGAGGAGGGGAGCGATGGGGACCAGAGCGGAGCCAGCACGTGCCTCCCCGCCGCGGATCCTCCTCTGGCGATCTACCACGCGCGCGACGGCCCCCTGGAGCCCGCCGAAGCTGACGAGGCTGCCATGCAGCGGGGCTGGCAGAAGATAGTCATATTCTCCTTCTTCTTCCAGTCCGGGGCCATTGACGTCCAGCCAACGGGGGAGGCCTTCGCGGACGCGGCCAAGTCGCGAGCACCAGAGCTGGGCTGGGGGGGCCTGCTTCCCTGGACGTACTCGGGGCAGCAATGCACATCATGAGCTACAGTCAGACTCCATGGTAAGGATGAGCGACTTTCCAAGGTGACCCTTGCATCCTTTGCCCTTCGGTCCATCTGTGGCCACTTTCGCTGGCCGGCCACTTGGAGTACCCTTTGGGCGAGCTGGCATCCTTCGGTTGCGCGTTGCGACGTCATTTGGGCCGAGCCCTAAGGATGCGATGGGCAGGGCACCCTTGATCCCTTGATCATCCTTGGGCAAGCCGCCCCTGCCCTACCACTCGCGGGCGGATGTGGCCCTAAGGATGCTGGATGGGCAGGGTGTTCTTGGCTAGCCTCGGACCTGTTTTTGCCTGTCCCATTCGCGGTGGTGTACGGCCCTACCGCGACCCCCCCCCCTCATCCTCCATTCCTTGTCCTTAACTATTCCCTGTCCCACTCCGAGGCCAGTCGAAAAGGCGGGCCGGGCGTTTCGCCTGAGATTTCCCCACCATTTCATGATCCTGAGGAGATGGAGGGCGGGTCGCTTCCAAAATGTGACCCTCGCCTTAGCGCCGCGCGCATCCGGATTTAAACACTGCAAGAGTTTCACGGATTGAGGGCGGGTGGTTTTCAAAATGCGATTCTCGCTGAAGCGCCGCGCACATTCGTCTTAACATTTAGTCGTTTCGCTCATTCCGCTGGCCCATATTGTCGCACGGCTGTCGATTGCCCAAGTGGTCGTTGTCAATGCGGTGCGGCTGGGCGGAGCGGGGGCTGTTTTCTTCCTGAGGGGGTGCGTGGGGTGCGGTGGAGGTGACGCAGTGATTGTGGAGTTGGTTTCGGGGGTTCGTAGACCCCTGCGGTGTTGTCTGGGCACTCGTTTTTGGCGCAGGCTTGTTGGGATTTCTGGGGAGGCCTCGTGACGGCATTTTGGGGCCTCTTGGGAGCCTCCTGGGGCTTCCTGGGGGCAGGCCTTTAGTGGCTTCTTGGGGGCCTCTTAGGCAATTAGGGCCTCCTGGGTGCATCTTGGGGCAGAAAGCTCGACCCTCTTTTGGAGCCGTCTTGGAGGCCTCTTGGCCCGTCTTGGAGGCCGCTTGGGCGGTCTTGGGGCCCTCTTGGGCCGTTTTGGGGCCCTCTTCGACAGCTCTTGAGACGTTTTCGGGCGGTCTTGGGAGCGGTTTGGGCGGTCTGGGAGCGTCGAGAAGCTGAAAAGCGACATATTTCAAACACTTCGAGAAACTCAATGGTTTTTGCCTCTTGGGGCCTTCTTGGGACGCCTCTTGGAGGCCTCTTGGGGCGTGTTGGAGCGTGTTGGGGGCATCTTGGGCCATCTTGAGGCCATCTGGGGCCGTCTTGGAGCGCTCTTGGCCTCAGGCCGTAGGGCTGCCACCTCTTTGGCCTTAGGGCCGCGCCCAAGAGATCAAGCATCTCTGGCGGAACCCCGCCCGGCCCTTCCCGGGATACTTTTCGCTCTGGGGCGCCCAGGGGCCGCCACGCGCGGGCGAGCTAGAAGATTGGTAACTTGTTACCAGAGGTCTTGGCACGCCTCTGGCCCGTTGGGCCAGCGAATTTTGAAAGAACTTCATGGATTGAGGGTGGGCCGTTTTCAAAATGTGGTTCTCGCCCTCGCGCCGCGCACACTCGTCTTAAACATTTGCAAGAGCATTACACATTGAGGTCAGCTCCTTTTCAAAATGTGGCTCTCGCCTTAGCGCAGCGTACCAGAAATTGTGCCAGAAATTGGGCTTTGGAGCGAGTCCGGATTATCAAGGCGCAATAGTGGCTTTGATTCGCGGTGTTGAAGTCCCAGGAATGGTGTTCTGGCACGATTCCAGATCGTCACGCTAGAACAGTCAGGTTGCTTCGTGGCGTTGGAGTCCTCCCGAGAAAGGTGCTCTGGAACGCTTCAGGATCTTCAAACGGTTGTCTCCCAACGAGGC